TGATCCTAACTAGTAATAGCATCATGAGATTTTTTACGGTTACTAATCTCTTGTCCAGTCTTATTTGGAAATACATGTTCAAAGAAAAATGCATTCCGAGATTCAATAATAGTATTTACATGCATTTCGGAATGTTCTGATTTATGAATCAAAAACCAATAAGCACTACTATTCTTGGCATACAACTATGTTAGGAAATCTAGACCAAAAGATTTTGAGGTTCTAGCACGTTTACTACGCCTAAGTTCCTCTTCCTCATTTTGATCTAACTCTTGCTCTTGTTCTTGATCATGACTAGTAATATCATCATGAGATCTTTTATTGTTACTAGTCTCCTGTCCAGTCTTATTTGGAAATACATGTTCAAAGAATGATGCATTCCTTGACTCAATAATAGTATTTACATGCATTTCGGTATATTCTAATTTATGAATCAAAAATCAATATGCACTACTATTCTTAGCATAACCAATGAAAATGCAATCAATGGTCTTAGGACCTATCTTAATCTTTTTAGGACTAGGAATACCCACTTTAGCCAAACACCCCCACACTTTTAAGTATTTGTAGGATGGTACTCTTCCATGCCACAATTCATAAGGTGTTTGATTCACTTTCTTTCGGGGTACTTTATTAAGTATATAATTAACGGAAAGTGTTGCTTCCCCCCACAAGTTTTGAGGTAATCTAGAACTTATTAACACGACATTTATCATTTCTTTTAAAGTCCTATTTTTCCTTTCAACAATTCCATTTTGCTGAGGTGAGTAAGGAGCGGTGGTTTGATGAATTATTCCATGTTCTTTACAAAACTCACCAAAAGGTGATTCATATACACCACCTCTATCACTTCTAAGTTTCTTGATTTTCTTACCAAGTTGATTTTCAACTTCATTCTTATATTGAATGAAAGTTTCCGAAGCTTCATCCTTGGTTCGAATTAAATAAAATAACTATATCTAGTATAGCTATCTATAAAAGTGATAAAATATTTTTTCCCACCTTTAGTTTGAATTGATTTAAAATCACAAATGTTACTATAAACTAGTTCAAGCGGTTCTATACTTCTTTCAATTGAATGAAAAGGAGTTTTTGATAATTTTGCCTCAACGCAAATTTCACATTTATGATTTGAATCAATGTCAAATTTAGGTAAACATTCCATATTAATTAATCTACACAAAGAGCCATAATTAGCATGTCCTTGTCTACCATGCCATAAATTTGAAGACTTAAGCAAGTAAGAAGAAGATGTATTTTTATTAATAACTGAGAGTACAATGGTCAAGAAAAAGTCATCAGACATGTAACCTTTTCCTACACACATTGTAACAACCCTCATACTGTTTACTGATTAGGGACTGATTGATTACCGTAACCTTTTCCTACATACATCCCATTCTTAGTAAGTACAAATTTTTCACTCTCAAATACTAGCCTAAACCCATTCTTACTCAACAAAGATCCGGAAACAAGATTCTTGCGCATGTCCGGTACATGCAGCACATTGTTGAGAGTGAGTTCCTTTCCTGATGTCATATTTAGTACAATCTTTCCTTGTCCTTCAACTTTGGAAGTTGAGTAGTTGCCCATAAAAAGTTGTTCACCATTGTCCACTATAGAATAAGATATGAACATCTTTTTGTCGGCACAGATATGACGAGTAGCACTAGTGTCCACCCACCATTCTTTAGGATTTCTGACAAGATTTGCTTCGGAAACAACTGCAGAAAGATTTATGACATCTACACCATTGGAAATTTTATCCATACCATTGGAAATTTTATCCATTTCGGTCATTTTGGCTTTAACAACCTTCTTACTTGATCTTCCTTTGCCTTTACATTTGTAACGGCGATCTTTGGCACGATGTCACTCTTTGTTACAAATGTAACAAATGCCATTAAACTTGTATTTCTTAGTTTCCCCTCCTTTAGATAGCATTCTCTTCTGCCATCTTTTAAAAACAGTTCCTAAGAACTTTTCTGGTTTTTCACCATAATTCACTGGCACAGTCTCAACCTAAGGAGAGGTTGGCGTAATGGCAATCACCATACTAGTATTGGTTAGAACATTAGTTTGACCAGTTTTAGTAGCCATAAATTCTAAATTATAAAATAAAATTATAATTAGAATTTTATACTACACAGAAAATTTAAACTAAAAAACACATAATTTTAAATTCTGTAAAAATAAAAGAAACAAGAATTGTTACTTTTATTTCCAATTGATTTGCAAATAAAATAAAATTTTATTTAAACAAATTAAACCAAAACTACAGAAATAAATTCTGTTAAAATAAAAGAAACAAACAAAAATGTAACTTTTATTTTCAATTAATTTGGAAATAAAATAAAATAAAATTTTATTTAACTGGTGAGAACAGGATTAAAATGAACTGGAGAAGAAAACATTGATTATACTAAACATAAACATTTTATTTTAAATTTAAAACATTTTATTTAAATTTAAAACATTGAAACATTGAATAATTTGGAAATAAAATAAAATAAAATTTTATTTAACCAAATTAATTCCACACAGATAACTAATCCATTCACAGAATTAAATTCGGTAAAAATAAAAGAAACAAGAATGTAACTTTTATTTTCCAATTAATTTAGAAATAAAATAAAATTTTATTGAACCAAATTAATTCCACACAGAAAATTAAATTTCTGTAACACTTCAATAATTAAAATACTGAAACAGAATTTTAATTAATGAAAACTCAGAAAATAATTTCTAAAAACCAAAATTAATTTTCTGACAAAATTTCACAAAAATATATTCTGAATTGTTAATGATACCAGTATCGTACTACTAGTTGTCAAAGAAAATAGACAGTATATTACTACTATCTGTCAAATAGCATATAATCACTATTTGTTTTTCCAACCAGAATATTATTTTGTAAATCCACAGAAAATAATTTTCTTAAAAGAAGAAAGAGAAAAGGAAACAGACGAAAAATTCTGTAAACAGAATAATTCGAGTCTGTCTTAAGATTGTTGGAACAATCTTCTGTGTAAATAAAATAACTTAAAATAATTCAAACAAAATAAAATAAAACTTACAGAATTTATTTTGTTGAACCGAATCAATAATTTAAAAACCAAGTCGAGTGTGTGACACTCTGTCCTTAAGACAGATTCACCCCGCTACGGTGCTTACGGTTATGTGGCGTCTATCTCCCAGGATACAATGATCTTCACAAATTTGTAGTAGCACTTCAAACAAATTTGTTCGACGAACCAGAACCTTGTGTTCTATAACTCTCTGAAATTTTTCCTAAAATAATATGAAGAATAAAGGACGCAAGAGAGCAAAATGAAGGCAAGGAAAATGAATTTTCGGAATCCATCAAAATTGGAATGGGGCTGCCTTTATATAGGCTTTGTTGGTACCTATTCAATTTGAATAGAAAATGTATGAAGAAGGGACATACCCCTTCTTTTAAAATAAAGAGACACCATGAAAGGTTTGCACCATTTCATTCAAATGGAGGTTTGACCCTTCCTTTAAAACAAAAAGACACCATGAAAGGTTACACCCTTTCAAAAATGGAGTCTATTTCAATTCACAACTACCTCTTTATAAATTTTCCAACACCTCTCTATACCTCTTTTGTAAGTCCCAATTTGGACATGCACAGATGATTCGAATCGCTTATCTAGTAGGCTTCGTAATAAAAGTTATCCATATAAAAAAATGAGCTTCATCAGAAATTATAATCTTAGGAAAAAATTGTATTTTGTTTTATAAAATGAAGGACAAATGTGATTATAAACTTAAACTATTCATTTTATATAATAAAAAAAAAATTGTTCCTGTGTTTATAATTTTGTGATGAAACTCATTTTTTTGTATGATATTTATTATGAAACTTAGGAGGTAGATTGTTTGGATGATCGGTATGGGTCCGAATTAGGACCTTCAAAAGAAGTATAAAGAAATATGAAAAAATGAAAGTACGGAGGAGAACATATCCCAAACTCTTGGAGCTCTCTTCCTTTATTACAGTTAAATTATACATTAGTTCTTTATGACATGAAAACTAGGTGTGTCAAAATAATATAATTATTTTAGATTTTATTAATCAATAGTTTAGGACACTAGTTAAAAAGTTTTCTTTTTTTTTTTTGGGGGGGGGGGATTTTGTTAATAACAAATTATTAATATTGAAATTGATCATAAAATTTGACATAAAATGTATATGAATAAATAAAAAAAATTAATTTAAAAAAAGTAGACTTCATTAATAAATCCTGAGTGTTCTAAGGGTGCCTTTTTATTTTTTGTTGAGATACCACACAATATATGTATCTAACCTAAAGGAAAGGGAATGAGGGCAATGAAATTTAAAGCTCAAACTTATTAGGGGGGCCCAAACGCACTTCTTAAGAAATTAGAAATAATTATACATATCATAAAAAAATTAATCACTATCCTTGGAACAATTGTTAATATAACTTTTTTTAATTAATTTTTACTAGCATTTTTATTATTATTGTTATTATCATTATGTACATCGGACATGATTGGAAGTATGTACAATTTTTGAAGTCCATATCCCACCAATTCTTTCGGCGACTTCTTAATTGAATGTAAATTATTTTATTTTATTTGGGATAATAAATTGAATGTTGAAAATGACCATGACTAAAGGGAAGTAGTTTCATTGATCAACAGAGAGAGACTCTCTGCTGCCCAGCACACAGAGGATTATGATGGCTGCTAACCACCACCATTATCATCTCCATATGCTCATGAAAAAACAGTTCTATGATTATGTCTGGCTCTACTCACATTAATTATTCACAACCATATATTTATAAAAATAAGATAAAAGCTTGAAGCTATTCTCATGCCTAGAAAATGTTGGTTTAACTTTAGCCTTAATTTCGTCTCCTATCAAAAAAAAAAAAATCAAATAAGAAAAGGACTAACCAACCGGTTATGGCCATCTGTGCATCACAATGTTAAGAACCAAATTATAATTTATTAGAATCTGACTCCAGGGAGAAAATCAATGGATTATTTTCATAATTACACAGCATTATTGATTGATACATGAAAGGCAAAGAATTGAATGACATATAGACCAAACACAAACATTTTTTAACCTAACTAGAGAGAATTGGCAATGGTTTATAAATTGGGACCTAATGATAATTTTTAATCCAAGAGACTGAACTAGTAAAGCGAGTTGTAGGTACAGCAGGTGGCAATAATAGAGGTTATGCAAATCAAGAGCGAAGGGAGTAAGGTGGCATTCAAGAGCCTACTGTTGCCCAAGTACCCAGCCAATGTTATCGTGCCATCTGCAATCACTCGAGCAATTGTTCCAGCTTCAGTTGAAAGCAATCCACCATTGTAGGTTCCACGGGATAGCCTAGATGACATGACCCGAGAGAGGAGAGACAAGTTGACACCTACATGGAAAACCAAGAAACGAGTAGACCTCACATTAAGATGAAAAGCTTTATATTGCATTTCCTCATAACAAACTCATGTTCCAACCTAAGCTCTCAATCTTTTCCTTAATGAGGGAAAGTGGGGTACTCCAAGCTAAGTTCAAAATAGTAGGTGAACTGTACAAATATTTTACCTCATACCTATGCCAATACCATATTCCAAATCCATAGATTAGAGGATATCGTAACATAGTATCAACTATCCAGGATAACAAGACTAATAATTCATTGCATAAATGATAAAACAACTAATTAAGTTCACCAGATATATAAACTTACCCTCTAGTACTTCGGCGAAGACAAACATTATGAGTCCTGAGCAGACATATTGTGGCACAGAATACGGAATTACTATATGGAAGCTCAGTAGTATGCCGATGCAAACCATAATTTCAGATGCTAATAAAATTTGCCTGCAATCAAATCAACAACGAAAAATGAATCAGCACGTTGTGATAAAAGTTTTGTAACACGTAATGAACAGAGAACTAACTTCTCGTACGAAGTGTTCAAGTAATATAAGGGTATTGCAACTATGTTAGGTTATGTGCACAAGTTAACTTATCAGCAAACAAACCCAAATAGCATACATATTGTCAATTCTATATCCATAAGTTCCACGACTTAATCAGTGATATCGTGAAAGTAGGTAAGCCATTAGATTCAGAAATTTTTAACAAGAAATTAATTTCTGATGCACACCATCCCTGCTAAGGTGGAGGGTGAGGCAGGAAGCAAAAGTGGAAGAAAAGAAAAATTTACATTGCAAAAGCCTCTAATCTTTTTTCTTTTCCTTTTTTTTGCAGAGAAGGTTTGCAAGAATATCGGGGTGGAAGTTCTATCAATATTACCTTGCATACTCCAACAAATCTTCACATAAAATTAAAGCAAAATAATATGTAGATTGTTGGTAGCTAAATCCCAATTGCAGTAATAAATCAAATGGAACCAATCCTACGGCGAGTATCAAAATTCAAAATATCTTCTCATTAAGCTGTTTTGGTTACATTGGAAATGGAAATGTTTCAGAAACATTTTGGAAATGTTTTGAATACACAAGGGAATAAGTGATTTAATCAATCTTATTTTATTTTATCCTTTACAGTTTCTCAGATTATCTAATAAATTTAACTTTTTTCTTTGTTCTCAAAATTTTTCTTTTGACAAAAAAAGATACAAATAGAAATAACCATATCATTGAATATTCATAACCAATATAGAGCAGCTCATTGTTCGGATATGTTTCATAGTGTTTTGTGTTTCTATGTGCTTTTGTGAAAATATTGGAATGTTGGTATTTCACTAATGTTTCATTTCGGTCTCCTAGGAAACAGAAATGCTTCAGTCATTTTGATGAAAATGAAATGAAATTTGGGTCCTTGTCCTATGGCCTAAAAAGCCTTGCCAAATGCCACAATTGGTCCTATCAATCAATAAGTCCCGCCGTTGGTCAATGGTTAATATCACTCCACAGCCATAACATTCAAAAGAAAATACCATGTTTTCTATATCATGAGTAAAAGAAAATACCTCCCAACGACCAGTTAGTACAGTTCACTTCTGCCGGAACCCAACCCAACAAAATTACTCTACAATTGAGATATATATATATTAAAAAAAATCTTTATTGTTTTATGTATTTCCAAATTTCAAAGTGATTTACTTAACCAAAATATACGGGTTGTCGATTGTCCCTTTTTTCATCTTGTAAAGAAACACAATTGACACTAAATTGTCTATTTAAACACAGACTTCAGATCAGCAACTATGGCGAAAGTCTTTAACATTATAAAGCACACCTCCCATAAAATTACCTGTCTTCAAACATGTTGCTGATATAGCTTCCAACAACAATGTTTACTGGAAGAACTGTTAGGCCAAGACATGCAAGAAAAAGTGCCACTTTGCTCGTGGACCAATGAAAGTAGTATGTGGTGATGACGCTAGATTCTGAGAGTAATACCTCCATTGCATATTTTAGCATGAAATAAATCAGCAATTGAACCTGAAAACATCATAGAAATCTTTTAAACCTCACCAAAAGAGAGAAAGAGCAAGTCAATCTATCAAAAACTGGCACTACAAAGCTATGGCAGGAGTTTGAGACTAATACAAGAAACTATCAAAAAGAAGAAAAAACATCTCTTAGACATACTGCATAGTCTAGTTGTTTTTCATTAAACATTCAATAATTTCTAATAATATATGTTTAAAATGACAATTAGGAATGTTCAAGCATGAACCAAATTATTAACCTGAAGCATCTAATAATAAATTCTAAACCCAACACCAGAGTAGTGTGTGTGGGTATTTGGTAGTGAGGTGGTCAGAGGCAGACTTCAAAGGCTAAGGACCAACAGAGGCAGAGGCGGAGGAGGAGAGAAACAAGACAGCCTCAAGAGGGAGAAAAAGTGGCAAGGAGAGACCTAGTCACCAGAGTGGAGAAAGATGATGACCAGAGTTACTGTGGTGCATTATGTGCATGGATACTCCCTCCCTTCTGTACGGTCCAAGACCGTCAGAGGCCAGTTCACCTATCAACAGGTGACCAACTTTCCTCGGCTTGACAAAGCGAAGGTATCAGCCCTATTGTTCCATCCTGTCATTCAGGCCTCAGAGGTTGTATCATAGGAGCTGTAGAGTTCAGTATAAAAACTGAGAGCATATCATGGCATGATGCAAATGGTAGGAATGATACCTCTTTCAAGGTATCAGGTATTGGGTCAACATCTGTCTCTCTCTAAGACTGGTCAAGAAGGAGCTGCTCCCTAAGGTCGAGTGACATTGAAACCAACTAACTTATCATGCATGTTAATAACAAATCAGTAACTTAAATTTTATTAATGTGCAGGGAATTAGAGATTGAAATTAAAACTAGATAAAAAATAAAAATAACACACCTTCACAGATGGTGTGAGTAATCTGTATGCCGATCCTATAGAAGTGGCTGGTCCACGAGACTCCTCAGGAGCTTCTTCACTTACATCACATTCTTGGTCACCATCTTCATCTTGTTGGTTGTCTTTGGAACCTAAGAGTAATGGCTGTGCAAGACCTTCTTCAAGTACATCATTCTTCTCTTGATCTGCCAACCAAAAGATCCATCATTCCTGTCAGTCTTTTTAAGATATTGACAAAATTATATAAATGCAAACATAGTGCATTATATATAGATTTATATAAGTATTCTTTTTTCTTTTTTGATAAATTAGTTATAGTTCTGGAACACATGAGAAGCCCATGATTTTCTGAACAGCAATTTGAGTGATTGAGAACAAGAAACCACACTCATGCCCGTATACAGGCCAGCTCAACTTTTGCCCGAAAACCCATGAGCCTCTCTGAATTACTTTGAAAAATATGGACTTTTTTAGTTGCAAGAACTCTGATCACTTGCTCAACATTTTAGTGACTAAATTATCCAGGAAAAACACAAATCTGCAGCAAAGAAACCAGATAGACACCTTTGTGTAGAGACAAAAAAAAAAAGCAATGCACTAAGATTTTGAAGATTTCGGGAAACTAATATGAGATTCTTTGAAGATGTTAAATTACCAAGGTCATAAAATTATTAGAACACAGTATTCTACAATACAGACGAGTAAAATGTCAACTCAAGCATAGTCAGTTTCTAGATATAGTTTCAAGCACTTGTGTGGCCTGACTTGATGATTTTCAAGAGTTATATTACGTCTTGTTAACCAAAATAATAATAATGTATCATTGAATTTAGAATATAATTCAGAACAAGTAACATGATCGAAGTTAAAATACCAGCATTTGGTCCTTGAGGTACATGTTGCCTTTCAGTCTCACGCAGAGGTTCTTTAAATGAGATCCACAACCAAAGTAAATACAAAAGCCATGCTACAGCCATAACCCAGCCAGGCAAAGTGTCTTGGTTAAATGTGATCTTGTAAATTTTAAAATTTGTTTGAAGCAAGCCAGCAAGTGCAGGGCCACAAGCCATTCCAAGAGCACTGGCACTAACAAAACCAGCTGAAGCCTGCAAGCGGATTTTGAGCGGTACACAGTCACTGATATAACGCCGGTTAACAGCTCTGGCAGAACCCAAACTGCAAATTTCGAAAAACACATCTGCATTATTGAAGTATATTATGAAGTGCATTTACAATCACAAATTGATATATCAGGCTAAAATAAGAACAGAAGTAAAGCAATATGTAACTATGTACATATTAGTGCATATACAATTGCGAAGCAAAATTAAGCAGAGCATATTAACATATGAAGATAATGTCACTAATGATAGATTCTCCTATTCATAGTCTTACAGTTCCTTGCTTGAAGTTTGTTTGGTTAATCTCTGCTCATAATTTACCTTCTAACAGTACACTCATGTATGTTTAGAATGAGTAAATTGTCAATCATGCAAATAATGAAATAGTTGCAAACCTATGAAGATCATTCAATAAAAGTTCAGTGCTGGAGAGAGTAAAAAACACATAAGCAATGGCACAGAAGTATTTAATGTGAGGAACCAAAAGAGTTCTAGATGGGAACATGTTCATTGTATGCTGCCAACCCAAAATTCCAAAATTGGTGTTGCATACTTTCTGTTGTGGTGAATCTCCTCAATCAGTTAATGGGATTTGATGTGTACACATTTGAGGGGGCAAAAAAAAAAGAAAAAAAAGACGATTACAATTTACATAATTCGCCCCAGCTTGCACAAGTTTCTGACTTAGAACTTAACCATCTATCACTAATAACTCTAAGAATCTATCCAGAATAAGACAGTGAACAGTCAAGCAGCAGCTTTGATATTTTTATATTAGGAAGAATCCAAAAAATGACATGAGAAGATCAACCAGGATAAATGGTCTAATAACCCACCATCACTCTGTCATCCAAGCATGAAACTAGTATACAAGAAAGGGAAGAATTAATTCTCCAAAAGTTAAAGCAATGCAATCAACACAAAGCTAGAAGGATTTATTTAAATTTAACACTTTCAGCAAAAAAGGCTAAAAAACCCTTATTGCAATTTTGTTCATAAATTATTGGTGTGCAAACACATGTGCTCACGTTCACGCGCGCACACACAAACGCACTCACAAAGAGAGAATTACTTACCCACAAAATAGACGACCAAGTAGAAGAACCGCAATTGAATTAAGATCATAAGCCAATGCGTACATGATATTTCCCGCAAACAGAACTATACTGCTAAATATTAGAGGTTTGAAGTATGATTTATTTGACCAAGCGCTGAAATACACTGAAGAAAAGACCTGTGCAACAGCCATCGCACCAATCACAATCCCACAAACAGTTGCTGCAGCACCAAGGCTCAGAGAATAGTCGTCGGCTGTTGGAACAACAATGTATGTGTTGACCATATAGAGAAATGTGTTTGCCAAGTTCAAGATAAGCGACATAAAATGGTATCTCTCATCATCAGAACGTTCCTCAGATGGGGTAGGCAACTCCTCTTCTTGCATTATAAGTGCATGTTGTCCCAAAAAGTGAAGGAAGTTTGTTGAGTAGGTTAATCTGTCGACGGCTGCTTTAATTGAATCAACAACAGGATCCTGCATATGAACCCTATTTAGTAAAACAATCAGAATGAGCTGGACTAATTATAAGTATATGTAAGAAAAACCTGTAAGGCGATAGCAGGTTGGTCATAAATAGATAAGTAGCTTCCCTGACAATCCTGAAGATCTGCAAGATTGCGAGATATAGCTCCCACAACCGCCCCCAACCCCTGCAAGTTCCATCCATTTGGTTCATAAAAACACATAATACTGTGACACCAAGCCACACCATGTATCAGTCACCTACCCCAAGAATCAGCTTTGCATCAGAGAAGAGTCCTATCTACTATCCAGAAGCTCTCTCAAGTCTAAAGATACCTAAAAAGTGTGTGTATATGTGTCTGTGTGCGTGTGTGAAAAATAAATAAAAAAAGAAAGAAAACGAAGCCACTGAGTGGGCATGTTACCACGTGCTTGAACACTTGCTGCAGCTGCGAATAAGGATGATTAGCACGAGTTTTGACATAGTAATCAGTGAATCTATAGCCAAATCGTTTATCAAACTTCTTCAGTATCTTACGCAGACCAACTGCATTAATCTCAACAAAAAAGAGAAGCTTTAAAAGGTCTCGCCCCACTTCTCTATAAGCTTCTCGTATTTCAGATAATCTGGATATATCCGGCTCCTGTTGAACGGAATCCTGCTGTTCTCCAAGCTTGGCTATCCTGCTTGCCAGTAGCCCTTGTTGTTCCAACAGGAAAAGGACAGTCTTTTCAATCTGTAAACATATCAAGAAGAAAGCATAAATTAAATGTTCAACAAATGATAACAAAAAGAAAGCAAAAATTAAATATTCAACCTTAATCATAAAATAGATGACATTAGAATTCCATAAAGAAACATGAAAATTCATAGTTTGTAAAAGTTCCCCCTGCCTCTACGATATTGGACAAGCTTCTCAATCAGAAGTATCATACATTTGCAGTAATACATAATGGGACTCAGCAGTAGATGTCAATTACATCTCACTGTATGCTGCCTGAAGGCCAGTATTGAAATTAGCAAATCCTCATTCCAAACAAAATGATAAGAAACACGAACTAAAGACCATCTATCAAAACAAAACATCTTTTTAAACTGGAAGTCACTCAGAGATATTTGACATCTGATGAACATTCAAACTCGTGTACAGGTTCAATAAGTCTGCCTTGTTATTTAGAAGATTTGATTGGCCTCTGATAGCATTTTCTAGCATTAGAGGTTCATGTTTTGAAGTTGAAGCCATTTCTAATTATGAATAAACACTCCAGCTGTGCTATGAACACAAAAGATTTTCACAAAATAGGACACATGTAAGACAAATGGTGTGTCCCACATGTGCGGTCCACCATGTGTGGGATCCACCCTTTATCTCACATCGGTGTCCCATTTTGTGAAATTTATCTACGCACTTAGAGTTACTCATAAACACTCTCATCAACAAAATTTGAAGAAAAGTGTTTGAACAGGCATACCAATAAGGCACATTCACAGTCCCAGAAGAAATAAATAAATAAAATTCCAGAAAACAAAAAAGAAGCCACCAAGGGCTCATAAAATGTTATATCCAACAGATATTCAATGCAGTTGGACAAAATCCAAGTACATTCAGAAACAATTAACCAACAAATAGCTGCTTGCATACCTGGCTATCCAGCATTCTAGAGAAATCCTTGAGAACATGTCGGTGGTCTAATGCTCCAATTTCAATTTGGTGAGCATATTGTTTTACTTTCTTCTTCATTAATTTGTAGTTGATGTAGTATCTGAAAAGGTAACAAATTAGAGCACATCAAAAATATGTATCAATAACAGTCCTTCTAATTTTGATTTATGATAAAAGTTCACTTCACAACAGGGTATGCTGGATGGTGCATTTTTTATATATACATGCAGATCAATGGCTATATTCCGTTCACAGGAATAAATTTAATTTTTTTCTATTCCGCTCAGGAACTCATACATATAGCATAGATCAATGGCTAAACATCAACTATTCAACTATGTTCATCAAAAATATTCGAACTTCTGATATTTTCCACTTCATATATTATCTTTTTCTTTTTCTTTTTTTTTATTTTTATTTTTTTTTTGGTGCCATTTAGGTGTTAAATATTTTCTACCACTCAAATGGCATTTTGTAGTCTTTCTCAAAGTGCATCTGGTTCTTTTATATTCATCCTTCTCCATATGTACCTCATGTCTAACACCCTAATTCTAGTACTCAAATTAAAAGCCTATAGCTTACCAATCTCACCAAAAGTTATAGAACTCTTCTCAGAATCTATGTTTATTTTCTGTCAGCCTTTGTAACCAACTCACCACATAGGTCAGCATACACTGTGAGTTAATTTTTAGGTTTTTTTTTTTTAAAAAAAAAAAATTATAAATTGCTTTGAACTTTTCTCGTTCTAAAAGACTTACCAAATTATTATAAATGCGGCTATGCACATTTCCAATGAACACACGCTTTCTCAAAATAAGTGAATATGATGCAATCTACTCTCAAAACCAATAGATAATATCCGATTAATTAATTAATATCATCAAAGTACAATAGCCTAGAGAATTATCTGATCAATAAAAATATTCTAACCATCCTAGTTATAGATGGACAGAATATAATGTATAACACCCCAATGTGTCAACATTCATGATAAAACATGGGAATGACAAAGTACTTTTCACTAACCAATCGCTTAATATAATTTCAGTTTATTTATTTTATGAGTAAATTACACTAACCTCCCTTGAGGTTTGCAGAAAACACATTTAGCCCCATAAGTTTGGCTCCCACAATGTTTAGCCCCATTTTCATCAGTAATTCATGGATCTTATGGATGGAAAAATGATGTTGTCATCTCTTCTTATACATAAATGTATATTTAACCTTGTTTATCCCTGTGTCGTCACATTCTTTGTATTAGTTTCAGTTGTTTTAGCCTTAATAAAAGGGAGATCTGTGTAATTATGCTAGACTTGTGGTGCTTGTTGTATTTTTTCTAAACCTCAGGGGTGGTTAGTGTAATTGACCCTTATTTTATTTATCAACAAAAACTATTATGATGCCTAGCAATGCATACAGATGGTAAGCAACACAAACTAGTTCGAGCCAAAATACATGTAAACATACCCTTGCCATTCTTGAATTTGTCTTTCCTTCAACTTTTTGCCGAAGGCAACCATCTTTCACTGCATAATGATATGAGAAAGACATAAGTGCTGAATGTTAACAACTTTCAATAGCAAGAAGTCATACCACTTCTAGTGAAACATAATCTGCTATGATGCTTACCAAAAAAAGACCAACACTAAATTTCAAACCTCATGTTGCAAAATTAGGTTCTGAAAGAATGAAACAAATAACTTATCGTCCTTTGAGGTTGACTCATGCCCTCATCACGCTGGTTAAAGGTTAAGTCAAATAAAACTCATTATATTCAATAACTATAAGCAAAACATGACAGACTGGTCAACAGGTGCGTAATATTCGGACAAGCATGATGTCCACGTAAATATCCAGGCATTGCTATTAATGACCATGGAAACAACATATGCAGAATTTTACTTTAACACCCACAAAGAAAACTGAATAGCAACTTTTCTAAATGAATAGAAACAACCATCCTGTCCAACCTTCCATGAAAAGGATGCAGAGACATTATGAGGTAGCTTTTCTCCTCAGCCAAGCATTTAATCATCTATCAAGCATACAATTAAGCTCATAAAGTAACCAACTTTACGCAGCATTTTGGAATTATGTGTGCTTACACAGTTTATAAAAGTTGCAAAGTGACATTTTAGAATGACTTTATCAATAATTGAAATGTCCAACATGTAAGGTGACTCAGCCATGTTCATCGTAATCCTCACAATTTGGCTAATTCAGCAGAACATGCCCACTAAAATTCACATGACTCCTGTCTCCCTAGTACCAGTCAGAATATATATTTAAGCACATAAGAAGGTGTTTTAAAAACTCAAGAAGTTATAAAATCAGAAATCAACAAATAAAAGGACGATTTAGAAATGAAAGATAGTATATATGTATAGTAGAGGTGTGAGGTGTGGCACTACGCATATGGAATTTAAAATAATTATGGCAGTTATTTAAACTACTAAAATCTGAGAATCATGGCAATTACTATACATAGGGGTATTTTTTAAGTATACAAAGGTTATTTAAAGCTTCTTCACTCTTGACACTTGATAAGTTCTCCACATGCACATCCAAAAGCCTTCTAAAGTTGTGTTCTTTATATAATCATAATACATATATATTATATATAAACTGAACAACTCACTTAGTGGTGTCCTGAAGCCTACTCCCTCCTTTTGCAAAGTGGATTTTTAATCTGTCCAAAAATAAAATGTATATAATGAGGTAAAAAAAGATTTGAAGGTCTGGTAAACAACACTCCACACTAAATATACTTTTAATTCAAAATCAAAATTTATATTTTGCAGATTTAATAGCACACCCATCGGGTGAGCATACACCCTCTAGTATGTATATATATTATATGTATGAAGCAATTTTCAACAAATTAACTGCACATGTAGCACAAGTTATGGTCTTTTCCAGATCAAAATACAATCACTCACATCCTCCTCTTCAAGAAAACTACCAAACCCTTGAACCACTTCTATGAAAATCAATGATAGTGCATATAAAACAATGTTTCATTATTATTATGAGTACAAAAAACAAATAAATGAATTAATTAAAAAAAATAAACATTGATTGATAGATTAAACAACAAAACATGTAGGGAAAATACATTACCCAAGCGAGGATTCCGAGAAACTTGTTATTTTTCTTGTATCGCTTAGATGACCATCAACAAAACAGAGAAATTGAGCTCCAATAAAGAGCCAAGAGTTGTGTGAATCTGTGAAAAAGATTCGAGAGAGAGACACAGAAAATGCAAACGCAGAGGGATTCAAATTTCAAAACATGGAGGGTGGTGAATTGAGTTTATATAAGCAGATATGGTAAATACATGCATAATGGATCCAGAGTAGGTGTGAATTGGCTGTCCACTGAGAATTCGGATCTTTTCAAAGAAAATATATTTTGAATTTAGCCCCACTAAAGTATGATAATCAATGGTGCCCCCAATACGTTCGATTTATTAGCTTCATTTGTTCCTCTGTGTGTGTGCTTACATCTATACTACACTATATATGTGCGAGAGAGAGAGAGAAAGCATCCCAATGATTAACCTTTTTTTTCATCAAATCTGAATTAGAAAGGACCATTTTCCCAATTGATATAGGATGCCCCAATGGTTGTTATTAAAGGCAGGGTCAACCGGCCGGTTGACCCAGACAAATATTTTTTTTTCACGTTACAGTGAAAGCTCACGCAGATTCTCAATTTGATGAAAAATTTGTTCCGATTTCAGTTTGATATTGGTTTGATGAACTTATTTGAGCAAAAAAAGTGACTTTTTTCATCAAATTCAAATTTGATACTAAATTTGGTTTACCGTTGGAGATGGTCTAAGGTCGAAGAATATGTTTGTGCCTAGTACCGTTTTTTTTTTTTTTTTGGTTTTTAACCGTGTATAGTAATGAGCGGTGTCATTAGTACTTTATAAATTATTTTGGACCTCTTATTTTTTTGGATCCTTAATTATAAATTTTGAAATTTTTTTTTTAAAAAATTCAAATAATACCAAAATTATCATTATAAAAACATTCTACCCATTAAATACACACCCCTCATACCCCCACACCCAAAAAAAATATCTTGTAAAAAATCTAACGAAACTCACCAAGAAGAAGAGCCAATATGATTACAGTCTTTCTCGTAATAATTTATTCTCTTTCAGGAAAAAAATTATAATAATTGGTTTTGTTGATAGATATTATAAAATTGTGAGTTCAATAGAAAACTACGCAGCAATATTATCAAAATTACGCGATGAAAAAATAACTTTTGAACCTGATAATAGATTTGGGCTACTTTCGATAATTTCTGCAAGTGTTAAAAATTTTGACCATTCAATGTGTTTAAAAAATTTCTATGTTCAAGCCTCTATTTCTAAATTTGAAAAAATAAAAAATTTTACGAGCGTTAATAATTTTATCCATTTCACATGTTAAGAAATTTCTATGTCCAAATGATATAGGGTAAATTTTCAAGGGAATGTTGACATGTCAACACAATGTAGTCATGAGTAATGGACGAAAGGGTTGTCTAATTGGTGCGGGGCTTGAATAACCATGATTACTGCATGAGATTCGAATCCATAACTGACACTTCTCTCGTTATGTTGTGGCCAACATATATATTCAGGCCAACCCTTAAGAGTCTGGTGCCGTTGTCTTAGGCTGAGTTTGGGAAGCCAAAAGTGAAATTTTTTTGTGTTATTTTAATCATAAAAAATAAAATAAATTTTTTAGTCTAATAAAATAAAATATAACATTCAACTTATAATCATTACATTCTTTTTCTCATAAAAAAGTCAAAACTCCTTCCGACTTTTTAACCACAAGCTAAAATAACCAAAAAAAATCAAAAACCAACTCACTTCTCAAACGAACCCTTAGATTGGCCTTTTAAATGTTAGATGACTCGTATGAGTGTGGGGTTGAATTTTGTCAACTGTACTCTCTGATTGAAATAATATGTGTGTTGTGAAGTTGATACACACACTTGATATTTGTTTATCGTCTTACTTTGGTTAATTAATATTAAGTAGTTGATTCCGAAATCAGCGAAAGACAGACTTGAGGAGTTTACTCGTTAACTAAAAAAATATATTCAGGCCTATTTTGAGAAATTAAAAAAAATAACTTTTTGATTTTTTGTACTTTTTTTTGAAAAAATATGTAAAAATAAATAAAAAAATGATGTGACTAATAAATTAACAAGTTGATTTTTTTTTAATTACCAAAATAGACCTCACATAATGTTCCTTACATAAATTTACAAAATAATACTATCATTATTTTTTCACATAATTTTAATTAATTGTACACAGCGGGTATCATGTGATTCTTGTCAATAAAACATTTCTTGACTAAACAAACTTGATGTTCAAAAAAGTAAATCATACGGACACCCTCTAAGGTTCTGGTCAATATAGATTTTTTTTTTACATTTAAAAAATTACACTTACCTCTTATCCGATTAAAATGACATATTTATTCCTTAACCTCTATACATATAAAAAAAATAAAATAATATAGATATTTTGTTCATATCATTTTAAGAGAAATAACAATCATCTTCTTTGGTTTAACTCAAACAAAAAATTAGGTTTTTTTATTTTATTTTGGACACCCTCTAAGGTTCTGTTCAATATAGATTTTTTTTTTTACATTTAAAAAATTACACTTACCTCTTATCAGATTAAAATGACATATTTATTCCTTAACCTCTATACATATAAAAAAAATAAAATAATATAGATATTTTGTTCATATCATTTTAAGAGAAATAACAATCATCTTCTTTGGTTTAACTCAAACAAAAAATTAGGTTTTTTTATTTTATTTTTCATATTTTTATTGAATTTTTTAAATATTTTTAGCAATTTTTTATTTTTATTTTTATTTTTTAGATACACCTAATCTAGAAATATAATTATATATATATATATAAATTCAATACATTATCTTATTTTGTTGTATTCAATAAATTTTTTAAAAAAAATTTGTACAAATTTTATACTTTTTAAATATATCTATACTAAATTGATCTAATCTAGATATAATGGTGGAATTAAAAATGAAAAATTATATTCATATATAAAAATTTATACAAAAGTATCATAAAAATGTTGTGATAGTGATATTGTTGTAAATATAAATCATATTTATGAGTGTTTTATTTTAAAGTGAAAGATCACCATTAAATTATATAATTGTGTTTGAAAATTCTATATAAAATTTATATTTATATATTGTCACTCAATAAGAATATATTCATGTAGAATTTAGGACAAATTACACTAACAGTCCCTATAGTTTGGGACTCGTGCCACTTTGGTCCCTGACTTTTTAACTGTGACACATTTGACTTTGAATTTTGAATCTTGTTTCAAATAAGAACAATTGAAGATACAATTGTTTAATTTCAAGAGCAAAATCGTTAATTTAATAAAATATAAACTAATTTGACAAAAATAAATGTCCAAAAAATATTTTTAATTTTTTAAAAATTATTTTTATCCACCAATGATAAAATTATGTAAAATTGATAAAAATTAATAAAAATTACATGATTAGTTTTTAAAAAATTAATTTTACATGATCATCATCCAAACACATAATAAAAATTAATTAGGTAAAAAAAATAAATAAATGTCTAAAAGATTTATCAATTTTACATAATTTTATTTTTAGTGGGTAGAAATAATTTTTAAAAATTCAAAATATTTGTTTGACATTTATTTTTGTCAAATTAGTTTATTTTTTATCAAATTGACAATTTTACCCTTAAAAAATCTAATGATATCTTCAATTGTCCTTATTTGGAACAAAATTCAAAATTCATGGTCAAATGTGTCACAATTAAAAAATTAGGGAC